GCTCGCGGCCCCCTCCGGCCCTGTCGTGTCGTCTGGCCAAGCTCCTGCGCGGCGCCCTCTTGCGAGCAAGCCCCAGTCCGCAGAGCCGGATTCGTGCGGTCTCGATCGCGGCGTCCTCGTCTTCTTCTCGACCGAGTCCGCCAGTCTCGCAAACGGATCACTCGAGCGCGGCGGCCCGTCCAAACCGCCCAGCGAGCCTCGAAGGCCCGGCTTCTCATCGAGCCCCATCGGGTTCGCGGCCCGTGGCGCTGCGCGCGGCGTGGACCGGTGTGGTATGGGCGCCACAGGCCGAGGCCCCGCGCGAGACCGGCCGATGCTGTCGTCGAGCGCGCCAACGTGTTGCCGCGGCCGCCTGCCGAGGGACGGGAGGCCTTCTTGCTTGTGCGGCGGCGTGCGGTGCTGGTGCTGGTGCTGGTGCTGGTGCGGTGTTGCCGGCTGCGCGGCGGGCTTGGGCGGTTCGGCGTCGGCGGCTCGTTGGGCGGCGAGGCGCTGGCGGGCGGCGCGTTCGTGGGGAAGGAGGCCATCGTCAGGGGCTGGTCTGCTGGACGTAGCTGTCGGTGCGTTCGAGGAGGATGTCGTCGAGTCGTTTTCGTTTACCGCTGAAGCATTGGAGGCGCCGAATGCTGGGGCACCCCAGCCGCCATGGCTGGGCCCAGAGGTCCTTCGTGGGATGGCGGAGGACGCTGCGGACGACCAGCCGCCGCCGAGACCGCCACTAAGTCCACGAGGGGCATGGGAAGAGGATTTCGGGTCACTCGAGTAGCTTCGTATTGTGAGAGGGCTCGGTCGTGCGGCGCCGTCGTGGCGACAGAGGGCGCAGATGTACGTGTTGCCCCTGTCCTGCGGCAGGTCAGCATACGGGCGGCAGGGAAGCGGCGGACGGAACGAATCATACCCGTAGGGTTCGACATCGCAGCATGGTCAGACAGGATGCGCAGCGTGTGAAGCTACGGCGTCTGGGATAGCTCGTGGGGGATCGAACAAATTTGGAGCTCGTCCGAGTTCGACTGATGGACATTTCTGTATCGGGGTTCGTCGGTGTGCTTTGTTGCATTACGTTCACTCTGCATAATGATGTAGTTATCCGACATATCCACCAAGTCCACAGCAGCTCTGAGCTCCTGAAGCTGCGAGCTCCTACCATTCCCCTCTCGGGTCTCACTCTGAGAAACGCCTCCATCATCGCGGTCACACACACATACACCGTCATGGTCCCCAAAGTAAAGGCCGTCCGCTCGCGGGCCAAGCCCCCCGCCCGTCCCAGCGACCCGACCGTGCCGCCGGCCCCCTTCAAGGCGCCGGCGTCGGTGCTGGCGCCGTTCCTCGCCCACCTCGACCCGGCGCACGTCTACATCACGCACATCGACCTCAAGCCGCGCGACTTCAAGCGCAACATCTTCCTCGTGCCGCTCGGCATGAACGTCGTCGTCGTGCTCCTCTTCCTGCTGCGCACCTGGTACATCACGGCCGTACTACTGGCGCCTTCGTGCAGCCGGGCCTCGGCACCGCCAACGAGACGACCTTCCCGGCCGCCACGGCCCACCTGGGGCCCAGAACGCCTGGAAGGCGGCAAGGGGCGGCGCCACCTTCTCCCTCGACCTCGTCCTCGTCGTCTTCGTGTGGCCGTGGCCCGTCGAGTTCGCCCTCGGCCGCACCC